TTTCCTTTTTTATTTCTCAGTCTGAGAAAGAAATGTAATGATTCATCTGCTTTGACTCTTCTTGCTTCCACATAGAGACAGTTGCTTTCCCATCATGTTATTCTTTAAGAACCGAACAAGTAGGACCTCATTTTACAAAGAATGAGCCAATCCCTTTGATCTTTTCAACAATGTATTTAAATTGCTACATTTTTATTAAAGTATCAAAAGTGTACATTTCTCAATATATCTGTACATTTTGCATATAAAAACACCATTGTACAACAAACATCCTTCCCCCACACAATAGCTTACAAATGTGATATTATTTTCACCAGTTATGAAACTAGGTCCCGCTCAACAGTCCAGCTCAAGTTTTGCAAACATCTTTGAAAAGAGGCAGAAAAGACACACACTCACAACCCATAGGCAGTTTCTAGTACACAGTTCTTCAGCACTAGTTGTATCTGACTTAGAATCCGAAGGCAACAAAGAGCACACATCAATTCACAGCTTTTACATGCACAAGTTACACAACAGATTGTGTCCAAATTTGGTTGTCTTAATGTGGGGGGAAAAAACCCTTAATACTAGATTCAATGCCAAGTGTAACACATGGTATTTGGTAACCTTTTCTGTTTCTCTATTAATTCTTCAAGGATAGTAGGAAAGAAAAACAAAAGAGATGGAATAACAGTTTGGTTTTTACAGAACACTTCGGTGGTAATGAAAGACTAAGGGGTACCATCAATTTACCTGTAATCAGAGTTGCTTTCAGCACACCAACCCAATTACTGGCATTTGGGAAACTCTAAATAGTGGCAAGGAGCACAGCAAAACAAACATTTGTTTCAAGCTATCTTACAGTTCCCACTTCTATTGGGTTTTACAATATTAGAGAAGGAACATAGGCAGACTTTGAACAGCAATTTGTCTTGAGAGGGGAAAGCTACAGTGCAGAAAATGTTCCCCTTTGTGCCACCAAATATTGCACAAGTCTGCTAACGGAGTGGCAGCACTATTTTTTTTTAAGCTTTTTTAGCTCATAGGGGACTTTAGTGCTTTACAACCTTTGTAATAACTGAACATAAGCTCTGGCCTACATACAAGAGCTTTACATAATAAATTGGAAAAAATCAGATGGACAATTGTAGCGGCTAACATTTCAATGTTGGAAAATTGGGGGTACAACTAAGTGTCTCTATGCAACCATTGAAATGAACCAAAATTTCACAAGGTGACTAACCATGTCCCTTGTAGAACTCTTTATCTCAATAGGAGTTGCTCAGGAAGAGAACACCCCAGCAAATTCATGCCTTTTCAAAAAGTAAAAGTAAAAAGGAATTGTAATGTGTTCTTTTTAGAAAAAGCAAAAATCTTCACACCCCATAAAAGATATGCCATTGTAGATTTTAGATTGCCTACTCTAACCTCTGACTATTCAAGGATATTTTTGGAATTATTTGAGCAGTTTTCAGGAGAAAAATAGTCATTTTGCAAATAGGAAATAACTCTTCATCTGGGTGCCCAAATTTTAGGATTCTTATTGCACAGTATCTGATAACTCAATTCAAACAGGCCAGGGAAGAGCTCTGGAGAAGCAAATAAAGAAAACCAAGCCGATTATGTGTTCTGAAGACTTAAAAAAAAGTTAAGTGCCCACACAATTATTGGCAGCATTGTCAGGAATTTTACAAGATTGTATTAAAGGCAGTGGAATAGACAAAACTGTGGTGAAATCATGCTTTCAGTAGATACAGTTCATAGTGGCCTGGCCATTGAACCTTTGTTGAAAAGGAGTTAACTGTTAAAAGTAACTAGCCAGCCAGTTACAGATCATATCCTAGAACCTTTTAATCAACAAAATTCCATATACAGAAACCACACGTTCAGGCACCAATAGGGATTTTACATGAGCATGAAATTTAGGATCAAGTGCAGAAAGAAATTGGGTTTTTGTGCAAAATTATGGGCAGATTTTTAGCAACCCATCACCCACTGGACAAAAAAGAAAGTTGCTGTTGTGACTGGGTATCTAGATAAAATGTTTATGCCATAAAAAGACAAAACTGTTGCTGAAAATTGGAACATGATATAAAGTTGGTGATGTAGTGGCTTGTCAGTATAACCAATTGAAAAGGAACATTTTATGGAAAAAAGCGCCACGGCTAGAATGAAGTCATACCATTGTGATCCACCTCCACAGTTCTGCACTTACTACCATCCTGACCTGTAGATTCACAGTTGTAGTAGCATTTACCCCATTATTTCTCACTGTTTAAAAGTGCTAAGCCCTGCCCAGCCCCTGTACTTTTATTTTTAACCCTGCATTTCCCAAACAGGCAGGTCAACATTCCAGAATTGTCAATCCAATGCTAATTAGGTAGATATTGGCTTTTTTTTTAATAAACTTGCAAGCCTGCAGACAGCTTTTAAAAGGCACCTTTGCACCACTCGACAAAAGAGTAGTACCTGCTACTAAATTTCAATTTGGATTTCCTTTTTTTTAAAAAAAAAATATAAATAGCTCTTCATTTTCTAAAAAAATACATCCTCAAGTTGAGGTATACAGTAGCCCATGTCTTGGCAAAGTAAGGATAAGGAGTGCTTAGCTGGAGACGGTCATCATGTAGCTTTTGGAAGGGCTAGTGCGCCCCAGCATCATTTGATTTTTGCAGGTGAGCATCCCGTAGGAGCTCACAGGTGCCGCCGATGCTTCATACAGAACGCAGATGGAACCATCCTCCCCTATTCGGTAAGATACTTCATAAGGGTCTACCCAGAGTGTGAGCTCACTGGGCAAGAGCTGGTAGAGTTGCTGAAGGCTGAGTCCAATCTGGCGAGCTGCTTTGCTGATGATAGGGTCCATTTTATGGTTGATACGGATGCAGCGGTAGCCAGACCCTTTGAACGGTTTCTCGGGGAACCAGTGATGTTTGTAATGCTCTGCAAAGGAACAAGAAAAATATCACAAATGGTAAGAGATCACTGGAGATAAAGGACAAACAAAAAATAGAATACATTTTAGAATGTATTCTACATTCTACACAAAGAAACATTCAACTAAAATTGGTGGCATTTTTTAAAAAGTAGAGGCTCCCATCATGAGTTTTGGGTCTGATCTAATCAAACTCTCATTTTTTTTCCAAGCAATATATTAAAGTTCTAGAATTGGAAAATCGTAAGGATGGAAGGAATCTTAGAGTTCATCTGGTAGAATCCCTTTACAATGTAGGATGCACTGGGATATCTCTGATAGATGACCCAGTCTCTGATCTCCAGGTCCCTCTTTCTTTTATAGAATGACAGCACAATGAAGAGTTAAATTGTTGGTTGAGAAAAAAAAGTCATTTCCAATAAGAACTGTAAAATAATCCCTACACAACAAACAAATAAAAGCAATTTATCTAAACCATGGCAATAAAAAGCCTTTTTAACTCAAATAACAAAAACTCCAAAGCCTGGGGGGAGTCCAAAAGATTTAAACTAAATGCATTATCCATAGCATTTCAGTAATTACTGAAATCTCCTTAGCAGACAATGCAATTAGTATATAGCCAGAGCAACCTCCTCCACACTTCAAGTATATAGCTCTATCCCATAATAAATGTGGTTATAAAGCCTTTCTGAGTATATTTTATACTTAATAGCACACTAGTGTAACCAGATGAAGAGAGCCCTGTAACCTGAAACTAGTTGCAATCTTAAGTAGCATGCCTGAAATTCTGCACTTTTTCCCTGACATGGAAGTCAGGCCTGGTGAACGCAATTGTGCTTTTAAAGGAGCTGTGGGGGAACCTTTCAGATATGATTTAAGATTAGAGCAGTAATAATAATTCCATTCTTATTCCAGGGCTTCAAATATTTTTCTCCCTTTTGTTTTGCTGAGACTGATGTCTCTGCAAAGTCACTTCCCAATGAATTATGAAAGCTAGTTTCCTTGTTCTATCTAGTTTGATCTAGTAAAATCTAGTTTCCTTGGTCACCAGAACAAAGGACACTTTTTTCCAGTCTAATTTAGGACACAATTTTTCAATCCCAGGGCTGCAGTGCAGCAATCCCCAATGTGGTGCCTCTAGAAGCACTGGATTATAGCTTATTCTCATAATGTTGGGCAAAAACAGATTTGTAAAAGCAGATTATAGTTGCGGGGTGAGGGAACTTGTCACTAATCTGGGTTAGACATATGTTTGCTATCCAGGAGTAGCTATTACAGGAAAATATATTCTAAAGAATGTATTTTTTTAAGAAAAAAACTCCAATTAAAGGACATACTACAAATAAAGGACAGGCAAATACTGAATGCTGAAAGTAAGTATTTTGTGTGATAGAAAATTCACAGATGAGACTAATTAAACTAAAGATGGGAAGAAAGTAAAGAAGAAAGAAGAAAATAAACGGTCCGGTGAATATCCCACTTTTTTTTAGGGACAAAAAAGTTAAGCTTGATTCCCCAGACTTGGTCAAAGATCGCTAGGATACACTTCAAGGAGGCGCCGTCTCTCACCTGTAAGCGCCTCTTCAAGAGCCTCACTGAAAACCTGAAGTTGCTGTTCACTAACGCAGCCGCGGGTGCGGAATAAGCTGGACACAAAGCCTACGGCGGCGGCGATCTCCGGTACCATATCCGCCCGGCTGTTGTTAACGTAGCTTCCATTCCAGCGCTGGCTTTGGCTCATGTCTGGCTTCGTATAAAGTTAGCTCGGTGCCCTGAAGGCTCCGCAGTGCTTAGAGAAAGGGGACAAACACCGAAACGATGAAGTAATTGGCCGGTCCGGCAGTTCGTGGCTGACCCGGCTGCGGTAGAAGCGACTGCTTAACGATGGGTTTTGAGAAGGCTTCTCTCACGTCCGCCACTCGCCTTCCATTTGACATGCTCCCACTACAAACAGGACTCTTAATAATCTTGGAAAGTGCAGCCGTCACTAGATGGCTCGCTTCTGATTGGCTGAGCTTTCCTTGATATGCTAATAGTAGGTGACCTCAGCAGGGTGGAAGTAGTGACGCGAGTACTGGGAAAGTCACGCCTTGAGAACATGGTCAAAGCAGCTGGAGGGGGGAAGGGAAGGAAAAATCGCCTGGTTTGGGGCTATTAATAGGGCTTTGCCTAGCAGGGGAGAAATTGTATCTTGTCAGAAGCGCCCTAGTTTAACAGTTCGACAAATAATTACTGCAGCTACTTATTATCAAAAGACCACAGGGAAATCAGGACTTTGTCAACGGTTCCGTATTCCCAAACTGAAACACATTAAAGGTATATCGTCTGTCTGTTCGCCCATTTTACAAAGACTCGTTTCTTTGTAAAATAAAATGGGATGGATCTCACAGCAGCTTGTGCTGGAATACATCTGTTAATTTTTAAGATAGCAATATAGTCTGCTCTTGTGTTTGTTGTGATAGGTTAAGGCTACTGCTACTCAAGAAATTATTCAGATTCATGTGTGGGAATAAGGTTAGTTAGGCTGTCCTTTTTAAAAGAAGAAGTTGTCTGGGGAGATGCTTTTAATTTAAATTGTATTCACGCCTTTGTTTCTTTGGAACATTGTAGCATGAATTAAACTAGATGTGAATGACAAATAAGCAATTTTGAATCTGTAAAAGATTGAAGCTGAGGTTACAATTGAATGGTATATGTTTAAAACTCTACACTGGAAATGTTGCTTAGCTCAACAAGTTGAGCACAGATACAAAACATAATCCAGAATTCAAGTCAAAAGGCATAAAGGCCTGATGATAAACAGCTTTATGTTTTTGTTTGTTTCACTCAACTTCTCCCCCCTGGAACTCAAAGTATAAAGTTGTTGCCTACCCTCATTATATAATAACATTATAATGGAAGTTCCACTGAGAATAATGGTTAGAACATAGAATAATAGAGTTGAAAGGACCTTGGAGGTCTTCTAGTCCAACCCCTTACTGAAACAGGAAATCCTATACCATTCTGGAAAATGGCTGTCCAGTCTCTTATTGAAAACCTCCAGTGATGGAGCACCCACAACTTCTGGAAGCAAGTTGTTCCATTGATTTAATTGTTCTCACTGTCAGGAAATTTCTCCTTAGTTCTAAAGATTAAACATCTCTCTTTAATAATCTTCCATCCCTTACTTCTTGTCCTGCTCTCAGGTGCTTTTGGAGAATAAATCAAACCTCTCTTCTCTGCGATACCCCTTCAAGTGCTGGAAGACTATCATATCATCTCTAGTCCTTCTCTTTGTTAGACTAGACATACTTAGTTCCCTCAATTTTTCATCATGGTTTAATCACCATCCCCCTTATCATCTTTGTTGCTCTTCTCTGCACTCTTTCTAGGGTCTCAGTATCTTTTTTGTATTGTGGTGACCAGAACTGGATGCAGTATTCCAAGTATAATCTCATCATCTCATAAAGTGGTAATATCACTTCATGTGATCATGAGACTATCCCTCTGTTGATGCTAGCAATAACCAGCAAGCTCCACAGATGATTGGTCAATCTGGACATTCATCTTTTAACTCTTCCTCTAAAAATGTTAATTTCAACTAGAATTCCAAATATTACATTCATGAATTAACATATCCCACTCTGATTAAGTGTTAGACATTTGTGGTGTTATTTACACTTTCATACCTGTCCTGTCTTTTTCTAATACTTCACTGGTCTTGTCAAAATTTATTTTTTTAAATCTATATATACAATTAGCATTTTGAATATTTCTCACAGACACTTTTTAAATAAAAGCTCAACAATTCTATCAAGATGCTAAATACTTTCAATGTGCTGTTCAAGTACAATTAAATATCTCCATCTTTTTGCAGGTCAGACTATATTCGTTTTTACTAAGAGTCTGCATTTGTTTTTATGAACATCCTTTGTCTATCAAGTCAAACTATAAATAGACACAATAACAGCACAGCCATGTATTGTGAAATCCTGAACAGCTTCTTCCAGATTATCAAATAGGAACAGAATATGGCATGCAGTGTCATTCTTTAGGTGTCTGCTCAGTAGTAAGCACCTTGCATTTAAAAATAGTAACTCCTGGATACATAGAGTATTTCAGCTTTCTTATGATTCTGTTTCTTATCTTGATTTCTTTCTGGCCTATTTGCCACCTCATCCTAAAATTTATGAGAACGCAACTGTTTTAGTCTTGAACAGACATCATGGAAACTTTCAGTATTAGAAGTAACTGGATTTAGAACTAAAAGTTTGTATTTTTAGACCTCTGGGTGACAGTTTGACTGCTGGATTTGTACTGGTGCCACGCTAATAAAAAATTGGTATGGATTTAGTATATTTATTGCAATGGAGCACTTGAAACAAGGGCAAAAGGAGACAGCAAGATACTATGAACTATGTGGGAATTGCTCTTACCAAGAAACTATGCAGAATGGCCACATATAAACTACAAAGGAAGTACAGATATACATGTCTCTTGAGGCCATTTTTAATCATTTTCTTTTTATTTCTTCCAACCCAATGAACTGTTGGAAATATATTATATAAAGGGGGGGTTGAGATGCTGTCCATTTGTTTGTCTTTTGGCAAAACAAGTCTCTGAAAACTGAACAGCAGGGAGCCAAGGTTGCTGTAGGCGGAAAACACCAGCAAAAGAAAGATTGAGTTTAAAATGGGTCATATTGAGCCAGGAGTTGTGAAGGAGGAAAATGAGGAAAGCACCATAATGAACCATACTAAAATACAAGTGTGGCAGTTCATCTATCATAGAATCTAGCAATCAACTAATATTACACTAATATAACACATTTTCAAGTAATAATTCAGAACAAGTAGTTTCAAAAGAGTTTTTGGTAAAACTCTTTCTCTTAAAGGAATTAAAAACACTTTGTGCATACAATAATGTTGATTGCAGATGAGAAAAAAATATCCATGCTAGTCAGTTACAGATCATCCTCATTAAACATAGTGCAAATGGAAAGCCCTAGTTTTCCTTCCTCTCTTCATCATCTGCATCACTGAATTGGAGGTATTAACCCTATTTTTCATGATAACTAGTTTTGTCTCTAGGCTTTGCAACAAACCAAAGCATTAAATTCATTTAATGGCTTTTTATTTTAAATTGTAGCCCTCTCAGGAGGAGTTCCTGTAAGCAATTACAATGAAGACACTGACAGTCATCAGTTGAGGCGCCTTTGTTATTTAGGTTACATTTCTACCAGCAATACCTACAATTGGTCCTTGAGGTAATAGTATGAGTCAGATATTATTACTGTAGTGTGACTTTACCCTAAAATGTTGCAACTGATTGGTTGAGCTTCCTTAGCTTGTACTGTAATGCATAGATTCAATTTTTTAGCTTGTGCCACCAAAATTCTAATTCCATCCATGCAAGTCTCAATTGCTCTTACATTTTCTTGCATATTTAGTAGCAGCATACTATACTTAAAACGCATTCCCACCTCAACATTTTGTTTTATAAACCTATTTCCTCAATATGCCTATAAAAACCTGCAGAATGTTTTCAATTGATACAATGTTATTTGATTCTCCTGTCTTTTTTCCCCTTGTCTTTTATTATACATACTACAAATGTATTTTTGCAAAAGCTGTAATGTGGGTCAAATTTTAGACTGCCATAAAGGTTTCCCTCCCCCCCAGTACCAATAGAGAGTTTCATACTACATTTTTTAAGCTTTAAGATAAATAGATATAGAAAAGGGTCATAATTTAAACCAACATGAAAGTGATGCAAGAATATAAATTTCATTGACCAGTTAAAATGATAAGAAGTCTAACTGGATAATTGCTTATTTTTTGTTTTATCTGTGAAAATATGCTTTGTTTTCTAAAGGGGGAATTCTATGGCAAGATATGCTAACCCCTATATAGTAATGTGGGAGTAAATTCCAATAAATTCAAAGGGGCTTTTCTTTGATAGGCCTGCATCAGGTGATACATTTGCACAACGATGCTATTTACTGAAATGATGAGAATTCTGATGTAAAGGGGAACACTTTTTAACATAATTATTTTTAAAAAGAACTTGCTTGTAGTTGGAAATTCTTGGACTGAACTGTGGTTTAAATTTTTTTGCCTTTCCCCCCATCAACCATTACCCACTTTTCTTCCTTCCTTAAAAATGTAAAAATATGAGTTTACCTCAACAAATAAAACTGGCTCTGAAACCGGTCCTGTGGGGGGAAGGGAGGATAGGAGAGTCTCTGCAACTGAGTTCATGCTTGTAATTGTGTATATGTTTACCAGCCAGACCAGGTTTAAGGCTGGCTTAACTGGAATCATTTATGAGCATCAAAAATATTATCTGGCCTTCAAAACTGAGGTCAGAACACAATGACAATGAATCAAGTCATCAAGCTACAGAAAGTAGAAGTCAAACAATGGTAAAAAAAATATTACAGAGATTCTGCCTGCATATTCAGGCTTCATTGCCTAAAAACTTTTAAAACAGATCAAATTCTTACCAGTTGTGTTTGTGTACCTATGTGTTGGTCACTGTCTTATCCGAAAAGATAATTTACAAAATTTATAGAACAGATCTAGACATGTTTCATTAATCTGTTTCTAGATAAGCGTATATAGATCATAATCTCATACCGTGTTTCCCTGAAAATAAGACCCTGTCTTATAATTTATTGAACCCTGAAATATGCACTTGGCCTTATTGCCATGCGCTCAAAAGCCCAATTGGGTTTATTATCAGGGGATGTCTTATATTGGGGAAAACAGGGTATATACGATCAAAGCTTGGCTGAGGGGAAGCAATACCCTTCAACAAGCTGAAGGAACTCATCAAGGTGGATTGTTAGATTCCACATACTTCTAGTAAATGTTCTTGAGATTGTCAGGAAGAAAAGATTTTACTTGATGCCTGAAATTAAATAGAGTTTGGTACTACCGTTTAATAATTCTGGTTTGTATTTTGCTATTTTTTTTTATCGTAGTATAGGTCATCCTATGGAATTTGAATAAGCAGAATAGGAAGACCGTTGATCCTTTTGAACTTTGGTATTGGAGAAGACTCCTGAGAATACCATAGACAGCCAAGAAAACAAAACAACAAATCATTAAACAAATCAACCCTGAGTTCTCAATTGAGGCACAAATGATCAGTCTCAAATTATCCTACTTATGCAAAGACTTATCCCTCTGGGAAAGCTCTAATGCTGGAAAGGTGAAAGGAAAAAGAAGAGGATGACCAGCAGAAGATGGACGGACTTAATTATAGTGGTGATGAATGCACCATTGAAAGGCATGAAAGACCTAGTTAAGGTCAGATTGTTATGGAGAAAATTTACCTATGCGGTTGCTAAGTCTTGATACTGACTTGATCATATATTCAGTAATATATCAGCTGATCACAACAATTATAATGCTGGGGGTTTTTTTTATTAAATTACTTTGATTTTTTTTAAAAGCAGCCCAATAAACAGAAATTAAACCAATGAAACTTGTCCCTTGATATTTTTTTCTCCATCCTAAGATGGGCAAAGAATCGTCTCCTTTATTTCCTTGTGTCAGGCTTCAAACAGAGGTGCAAATGAAGAATCTATGAAGTAAGAGAAAGGAAAAATACAATCCTAGTGAGAGTTTTCAAAAAGAACTGGTAGAAGAGTAGAAAAAGGACAGCTGGCTTTTGGGGGGGAGGGTTGTTGCTCATGTTCGTGTTTTAAACAGAACTTGTTTTGATCCCTCCAACCAGGATAAGTCTGTTCATTGTACTCTAATAAAAACGAGGTCAAAAAAGTAATAGATAGAGATGACAGGGCTGTCCTAGATTACTGCTTCAGCAATAATAAGAGCTTGTCAACAGCTCAAGCTTTCATAATATATGACTTCTACTTTTTCAACATGTACAGTGTACTGATTCTGCCTTAAAGACATTTGGTGATACTGGTTTTAGAGCAATTGTCATTCAAATAATGAATTGGTGACATGAGAGAAGGACAGATGTTCCTGTCTTTAAAATGGGAAAATAAGAGGATGAGGGAAACTATATAGAGAAGTTGGCTGAAACTAGTACTCTGTTTCCCTGAAAATAAGACATCCCCTGATAATAAGCCCAATCATGCTTTTGAGCGCATGCACTAAAATAAGCCACCCCCTGAAAATAAGCCCTCCCTGAAAATAAGCCCTCCCCAAAAATATTTAAATGCATGAGCAGCCGGTCCCTGCCATTTCCTCTGGTTAGGATTAAGGAAGACAGAGCTGGAAATCAGGTAAGACAGCAAAAAAAACCCGTCTTGCTCCACATGTCCCAAAATAATAAGACCTCCCCAAAAATAAGGCCAAGCACTTATTTTGGGGTTCAAAAAAATATAAGACAGGGTCTTATTTTGGGGGAAACACGGTACCTAGAAATGTTCTAGAGCAGATCATAAAGAGCTCAATCTGTGAGTACTTTGTACAGGTGGTCCTCGACTTACAATCACAATTGAGCCCAAAATTTATCTTGTTAAGTGAGACTTTGTTAAGTGATTTTTGCCCCATTTTAAGACTTTTCTTGCCTCAGTTGTTAAGTGAATCATTGCAGTTGATAAGTTAGTAACACACTTGTTAAGTCAATCTGGCTTCCCCATTGACTTTTCTTGTCAGAAGGCCACAAAAAATGGCCACATGAGCCCAGGATTCTGCAATGGTCATATGTATGAACTAGTTGCCAAGCGTCTGAATTTTGATTACATGACCATGGGGATGCTGCAAAGATCGTAACTCTGAAAAACGGTCATAAGTCACTTTTTTCAGTGCTGTTATAACTTTGAATGGTCACTAAATGAACTGTTGTAAGTCAAGGACTACCTGTAATATAATGATTACCAGATATCAAATAGATTCATCAAGAATAAATCTTGACAAACTACCCTATGATACTAAATATTTAATTAAACATAGGCTGGATAGCATGACAATTAAATGATTACCATACTTTTCGGAGTATAAGACACACTTCCTCCCCCAAAAAAAGTGGGTGAAAATTGTGGTGCGTCTTATACACCGAATGTTGCCGAAGCTCCGCCCACCCACTGGCCCCCACCCTTCGGCCATTTTTGGCCTCCGTGCATCATGTTTTCGGCATGCCCCATTTTAGACCCGTTCCAAGCTGCAGGGATCACCACAGTACATCACCACCAATTGCCACCTCCACACGTCAATTTTTCCACCTCCGCATGCCCCATTTTTGGCCTCCGTGCGTTGCATTTTCGGCTGGTTCCAGGTGGTGGGGATAGTGCAAAGGCCAAAAACGTGATGCGCAGAGGCCAAAAACGCGATGTGCAGAAGTGGCGATGGGCTCTGGCGATCCCCACAGCCTGGAACAGCTGATTGGCGGTATTCCAGGAGGCCGATCCAACCTCCAATCAGCTGTTCGTGCTAAATCAGGCTGCAATAACATGCTAAAGCTTACCAGGTTGTTTGCTGTTTGCTGCAAGGATGCTAGCCAGATGAATACCAATGGATGCTGGTAGGCAGAGGCAGATTTTTTTTTCTTGTTTTCCTCCCCAAAAACTAATGTGCGTATTATACTCCGAAAAATACGGTATATATCTGTTTTAAGAACGGTACTCAAACATGCAGATTAAACAAAATTTCAATATCCTAGTAGAAGTAAGAGCAGGGTTGGCAAACTTTTTTTGGGGAAAGGATCACATCTCTCTCTCCTCAGTGCATCAAGGATGCTTTTTTAATTTGGAATTCTAAGCTGAAATGAGTCTGGGCATCATGCTTTATAGAATATTCCAATGCTATCATTTTAATATAGGTAAATACAACTTTAAAATCTTGCTTAGCAAAGCATATCATGGTCTTTTCAAGACAGAGTTAATAGTTTCTCTCAAATCTTCCCAACTAGAGAAAGCAAGAACAAAAGCTGGAACCATCTTCAGGGATCAACAATGCAATAGCTTTGAATCAGGCACTGGGCAGTGTAAATTTCTAACAGTGCCCTGCAATGATGCTCCAAGGCATGATGGAAAGTGTGAAATAGTGCTTCATAAGGGTCTGCAACTGCAGCCTGAGGGGAAAATGCTTGACACTACAGGTAGTCCTTGACTTACAACCATTCATTTGTCGACTGAGGCTACGATGACAGTGGAAAAAAATGACTTATGACTGGTTCCCATACTTAACAATTATCACAGCATCCCCTTTTACATACCAAAAGGCGGCGAAAATAATTTGGATTAAGGAGTGGATCATGTTACGAAATAGGAGAATCCTGACATTAGAAGGATATGACCTATTGGAAGGATGGCATGCTCACCTGTGGGACACAAAGAACAAGAAAAAATCCTACTTTTATAAACACAAAATTAGGGAGACACTTATACGCACGTGGGAGGAAATTAGATAGAGGATTTATACTAAGGTACCTAACTGGCTTTCTATTACGGAAGCGTTGGCGGCCCCAAACAGGAGAGATGATTATAAATTGGGCACATATAAAGATATTCTTGATGAAAAGGGGAAGTTCAAATCTTTGGATTTATTGAGGGACCAGGGTTTCAACTTGGATTGGTGGAATTACCTGCAGATTAATTCAAGATTCCAAAAAGACAGAGACCAATTTGGTATAGAAGCTAAATATGGAAATTTTGACAAAATTATTTGGGGAATAGATAAGAAAATGCTAGCAAAAATATATAACTTCTTACTAGATGAGGATAGGGCAGAGATTATAGCAAAAAAATCAGCTAAATATTTGGGAAAAAAACCTGGGATACAGATTAAATTTTAACGACTGGGAGATGGCCTGGAATAGGAATTATAAAATGACGAAATCGGTAACATTCAGAGAAAACCATTATAAAATGCTACCCAGGTGGTATCTAGCACCAGCTAGGTTAGCGAAAATGTTTCCCAATCTCTCAGCCACGTGTTGGAAATGTGGAAAAACGGTCGGCACCTTCTATCATCTATGGTGGACCTGTCCAGAGACCAAAAGGTTCTGGTCAAAAATTCGATATTGGCTTTGTGAAATAACGGGACAGGAGATAGTTCTATCTCCAGAAATCTTCCTCCTGGGTATAATCGGAGACGGCCTCAATAACAACAAAACTCAACTCATAATCCAGATTACAACTGCGGCTAGACTAGCCTTTGCGAAATACTGGAAAAATAAATCCATACCCTCAGAAGAAATACTAATAAACAAAATCCTAGAGTGCGCAGAAATGGCAAAATTGACGAGTGAGATAAATAATGAGGAGAAATCTAAATATTATGAAGTATGGGGAAATTGGTACAATTGGTTGAAGAACAAAACAAAAACATGATTTTAGGATATGACTTGTTATTCCCTGATTTGTAACTCCAGTTTGCAGGTATTTCTAATCTAATGATTGGTATTTAGGGCAGCTTTTTGCAAGCAAAGAAGCTTTTTGTATTTTTGTACAGGTAATCCTTGATTTACAACAGTTACAATGGCACTGGAAAAAGTGACTTATGACCATTTTTCACACTTATGACCATTGCAGCAAACTGTCATTAGGGCAAAGAAGCGATGCCACATGACCACCTGGCCACGCCCACCCAGTCACATGAAGCACTGCAGTTGTGAAATGAGTGACACGGTTGTTAAAAATGCTGCAACGGGCATAAATGATGACCAGTCATAAGTGCGAGGACCAGTCAAAAGTGCGAGGACCTGTCAGAAATCACTTTTTTCAGCCCTCTGGGTAGTCCTTTTGTGCATATGGACTACTCAGAGGGCTGAAAAAGTTATTTTTCGCTGGTCCTCGCACTTTTGACCAGTCCTCACCCTTACGACTGTCCTCACATTTTATGTTTTTTGCCCTATCTTGTCACCATGGTGAAAAGAAGCAGTTGTGAAATGAGTGACATGGTTGTTAAGAATGCTGCAACGGGCATAAATGTGAGGATGGTCATAAGTGTGAGGACCAGTCAAAAGTGCGAGGACCAGTCAGAAATGACATTTTTCAGCCCTCTGAGTAGTCCTTATACACATAGCCACGGCCACCCAGTCACATGATCAGCTAGCCACGCCCACCGTCACATGACCTCCAAGCCACGCCCACCCAAATAAGCCACACTCACAGAACGGTTGTTAAAAAAATTGAATCCCACTACTGGTACTACTCCAAAAAAAAGTGGTGTTATTAGCTAGTTTTAGAAAATATACTTTTCCCAAAAGGTTTCCACAATTTTGGCCACTACTGTAACTACAGCTACAGCTACAGCTACAGCTACAGATACAGCTACAGCTACAGCTACAGATACAGATACAGATACAGATACAGATACAGATACAGATAGATCAGTTATCTCTTTTTTAGAGCATTCCTCATGTCCAGAGACTGCAAAATACAATACCTAGGTATTGTATATATTTGCCTTGGTGAGATGGGTGACTATATAATTTTGATTAATAAATAAAATACCAAGCATAATTACTGGGTATTCAGATACCTACAGTAGATAGATATTTCA